AGGGATAGTGCATTGTGGTTTTTGAATTTCTTTTAATTACCAGTTAATTTGAATATCTTACTCATATTTAAGAGCCATTAGTCTTTTTTCCCTGAATTTTTTTTCTTTCAGTTTAATAGTGAGTTGTCAATCTTTGCTATTAATTTGAAGGACTTTATTGTAAGAAAGTAGCTCCCTGTTGTAGACATTTCCCCCAGTTTAACATTTGTTTTATGATTTTTCCCATATGGGAAAAAGTTATATACAGTTATAAATCCTTTTTTTTTGTTTCAGCTTCTGGGTTTTATGATGTTTAGAAAGACCTTACCTATTCTGAATATTTTTACAGTTTAATTACACTTAATTCTTTGAGTTCTCTGTAATTTATTTTGTTGTAATATATGTAGTAGTGTTCCAAGTTGAGAAAATTATTATGGGGTAGTTTGCCTTTAATTGCTATTATAGAAGTGGGATCTTTTCTTTGATTACATTTTTAAAATTGGTGGTTGTTTGGACGTAATACACCTTTGGTTTTGGCATATTAATTCGATTATGAATGATTACAGAATTCTTTTGGATTGTCATCTCTATTGATAAATTTGTCCACTTCGTTTTTGTTTTTTTTTTTTTTGGTACCAGGGATTGAACTCGGGACCTTGCACTTGTGAGGCAGGTGGCACAACCACTGAGCTAAATCCCCGGCCCATACTTCTTTTTAATTTTATACTTTTCATGTTTTCTTTTGTCTAATTGTAGCTAATTTTTTAACAATGTGAAATAATAGTAGTGCTAGTGCCTCACTGTTTAAAGACTTTCATTAGGAATGGGTGTTGTAGCCCATCCAACTTGTTTGTGGCCCCCATGGGAGTGGCCATGGGGTTTTGCTGACATGTAACAGTCCTGTGGGCCTGGATTAGTAGTTTTGGGATGACATGGAGACTCCCTGCTGGAATTTTCCTCACCTGTGTAGCTTGGTCATGCTCTTGCTGTGGGGGTGTGGGTAACAGCAGAGTTTGGGAGCTTCCTCCTTTCCCTGAGCTTCAGGGCAGTTCACGTAGCCCAGCAAGTCCCCGTGCCTTACAGGTTTGGCAGGTGTCGCTTATTCCCCTTTTTGGGAGGACTGTTGCTCCTTGATCTCTTCCCCTATTTGGATTTTCTGTATATCCTGGGGGTAGTTTTGTTCTCTTTTCCTAGAAAGTTACTCATCCAAATTTTCACATTTGGAGATTTAAGAATATTAAGTCAATAAACAGAAACCCCGAGTAGATTATAGTAATAAATAGTAACAGATTGTCTCTAAAAAAGAACATAGGTCCTTTCCCCCAGGCAAGTTTTACCAAACATTTAGTAAAATTCTCCGTTTTCTAGTACAAAGTTGTGGCCTGCCTGCCCCGTCATGTGCACATGTGCTCTCCTGTGTAGCGTGGTTTCACTCTGATCCCCTGGGAGCTGCCGTTACTCTGTGGCTGTGTTGCACCTGTTGGCCCAGCAGACACCCTCATCCAGCTTGAGAGTCTGTCCCCTGTGCAAGGTTTTAGGGTTTGCTTTACACATCAGGAAACAGATGGTGTGTTGGCTCCTCCCATTCCTTCTAAGGTTTTGCTATGTCACTATCTTTCAGAAATTACCCATAGGTAGTTTACTTTCAGTTTTCTATCTTTAAAAATCTTCATTTTGCCTTCAAATATGGTAGGTAAGCTAGGCATAGGATTTTTGGTTCAAAATAATTTCCCCTTGGAACACTAAAAATAATGTGTGTGCTCACCTGTTTAGATACTGTTTAGCCTCAGGAGGAATCTCACCATAGATTTGTGTCAAACACACATTTATGATCACATTTAACCTATGATTGTGGGTCTTTTCAGGGCAGCAGTTGTCTTTTTCTCTCATCATAGGGTCGGTTAAATCCATCTTGATACTCATTAAGTTTAATTTGCTTACATTTTGCCACACTGGATTTTAACTGTAGTGGTTTATTTCAGGAACTAAGCATAGTGCTCTTTCTAGTGGAAAGAGATTGCTGACTCATCTAGTTTATCCTCATGTGAAATTCAGTATGTATTTGTATAAAAAGTACTTCTTAAACCAGTCCTTAAATTCAGATTACTAGGCAAGTAATTATTTCAAGTTTCCATTTAAGTGACTGCAGAGTGTCCACACTTGTTGTGGTTCTGCTGGATTTATGTCCCCTTTCTCAGTACTAACAAGATGGTGATGGAGCGACCAGTTCAAATTACCTGCAAAGTGTTGCCTAGCCAGGAGAGGGCTAGGCTTGCAGACAGGTGGAGCCCAATTACCTTTGCCTCTAACCTAGTATATGCCACCAGCACATTCTGCACTGGTAAACTTCCCAGGTGCAGGCTTCACAGGCCAGTGCCCATGTGGCATCCCAGCGCACGTGTCTCCCCTTGAGCAGACCAGGTGAGTAGCAGCGTGGTTAATGTCCCTGTCCTAGGTCAGTCTGGCCCCGTGAGTTTTTAAATCATTATGATTAAGTGGTTTTGTGTGCTCTACACTATGACTGTGCTAATCAGGAGATTACAGTTTTACCTCAGTATTACAGACATTTGCAAACAAAGGAGTTTTGAGTAGAAACCGTATGCATAGACCTGCACAACTGAGGAGTTTGTAATTTCAGGCTTAGCACCAATCCCTCTTGCCTTCTCTGTTCTTCCTGGGCCTTGCAGGGTGAGGATCCATGACCTCCGCACTGATAAAATCGCCTTGTCGATCTCCACTCACCAGCTTGGGGTCTCTGCCATCCAGATGGATGACTGGAAAATTGTCAGTGGTGGCGAGGAAGGGCTGGTGTCTGTGTGGGATTATCGGATGAACCAGAAGCTGTGGGAGGTCCATTCCAGGTACGGTGGCTCCTCGGGTGCTTTTAGGAGCAGCAGTAACAGGAGTTGACAGTTCAGGTCCCCTGGGCTGGACACTACCAGTGCTTCTCTGAGTCCACCTTTCTCCAGCCCTATGAGCAGGCTGCTGTTTCTGCTGCCACCTCCAGTTTTCCGATGAGAAACAGGCCTGTAAACTGTGTTGGTCGATGGAGATGCAGTTGCTCTCTCGTCATTAGTATTGCTGTAATTCATAGCAGCCATTTTAGTCAGAACCAGCTTCCCTGAGAAGGGAACCAGAACAGCACTTGTGAGGGATGGGTTATTTTAGAATTCGTCCATCTTACACAGAAAGGTAACTCAAAAATCCAGGAAGCCATCTTGGCTAGACCATGTTGTGACTCCTGCCCCAGGCCCCCGCCTGCCCACAGGTGGAAGGAAGGGGTGGCACAGGCCCCCAGCCCCACTCCAGGGTCCCCATGTGCAGACTGATCTTCTGCCCCCTGCTTGGGCTTTCTTTCCACTGTGTAGAAGTGCTCTTAGGACTGAAGATGGTCAGGCTTCCATGGAGGAATTTATCATTTTAACCTTTAATGAGAATATTCAAGAGATAAATAGATATTATTTACAGGATAGAAATGCATTTATGCTAAAGGTGCTTAGCTAGTTAAAAAGTTTTGTGCAAGCCTGCTTTTAACCTTTAAAGCACAGGCAGCCTGACCTGGAGCTCAACACAGCATGGCCTCTGAGGAGCAACGTAGCCTTTGTTTGTCAAGTCACTGGACCACACTTATTGTCCCAGGAGGTGTCAAAGTGAAACAAAGAGTTTTTTCCTCAGTGGACAGTGTGGGCGTCCTCACCACCCCAGCCGTCTGTCCATCACTTCCTTACTGGACCATGGGGAGACAGGCCCTTTTGTGATTTCATGGTGATACACTATAGTGCCACCAGGTGGTGCCAGAAGGCAACCAGAACTCACATCCTGGAGTCCCCCAAGCATTTGCCTGTGAGGAAAACCTGGTATGGATGTATATATTTATATTTATATGTATTATATTATGTTTGCTGTACATGATGAACATCATGGGGATTGGCACATGTATATTACACATCCTAGTTTTGTTTACTTCCTGATGTTTTAAAGAGCTGACAGCCTCCAGGGTAGGTCCTACCCTGTCCAGGCCCTAGGAACTGCAGCTGGCCCTGCCCGGGGTTCCTCCATGGCAGTTCAGGGGAAGCCTGCAGAAGGGGGTCCTGCCCCAGCCTCAGTGATTGTCCCAGGGCACTGTTTCATTCACACCTGGCTGGTGTCTCCTCCTCTACATAATCCCCTGCTTGCAATTCACCGACTTGTGCAGGCACTCCATACCTGAGCACACTGCCCATCCCGATCCTCTCCTGAGCTCTAGTTCTGCTCTCATCTGGTCACTTCCATGGCCCCTACCCATCTGCTTCAGACTCTACCAGTCTCCGCAAGTCCTCCCCCAGCTGCTGGTGGTGCAGCACCCCAGCCTGAGACCGAGTCCACCCTCTGCCCTGTGTCCCCTGGCCCAGAAGGCACTCTGGCTCGGACTTTCCCACATCCTCTCCGCCCAGGTGCTCTTCTCAGTCCCCCTCATGGCAGCCTGTCACTGCCCCATGCTGTGGAGGCTGGGCTGTGTTGTGTAGGGGTGCATCTCACTTCTCACTAGCAGGTCTCTGAGGACAGGCATATGCGTGTAGGAGACCTTTTGTGTCACCTGATGTCTCCTAGCTCAGCACTGTGACCACTGCAGGTGATGCAGAAGTTTCTAGAGGACCAAATGCCTCTGTTAAACAGACTTGAAGCTGCCACCTTCCAAGATGCTCTGAATGTGCCTTCACGGCCCAGAGTATAGGTGTCACTTGTAAGGCTCTCACTTCTGGACTGGTGAGCTTACAGATCACCACTAAATATACCCCCCAGCCCTGCCTGGGGCCTTGCAGCCCTGGAGACCGGAAGGGAGCTGGCCCTACTCCCCCAGCTGGCTTGTCCCCACTCATGCTGTTGGGACAATCCCCCAGAACACATGAGGGCATCTGATTTGCTTACAAAGTAGCGGCCACAGCATGGGCCTAGAGGGTTCCAGGGCCCCTCGAAGCACCTCACTTGCACATGTGAGCAGCTAACCCAAATGCTCTCCCTCTTTCCTTCTCGGGCTGCAGACACCCTGTGCGGCACATCTCCTTCAACAGCCACAGCCTCATCACAGCCAACGTGCCCTACGAGAGGGTGGTGCGCAACAGTGATCTGGACAATTTCACCACCCACCGGAGGTCAGTGGGGCCGAGCTTGGCCGGATTTGTACCTGTTCAGAAAGACAGACCTAGCTTGATTGCATTAGTGGAAATCCCACGGCCACATCGTCCCCTACACACTGTGCATACCCCCAGGCATGGCCATTGTTTTTGCAGACCTTGCCAACCCATTGGTGGCTGCTGCAGAACCAGGGGCAGGTACTGAGTGCTGTCTAAATCATTCCCCCAGCCACTCATGGCCTCTCGGGGGAGGGGGATCGATCCCTTATGACAGGCGAGCCTCTCCTGGCTGGGGCTGAACTTCAAAAGGCCTTAGTGACTTGCTCCTGCCAGCCCAGTCCTCCAAGGTGAGTCCCGTGACCAGTCTGCTGGTGACCCAGCTGCCAGTCAGAAGAGATCCCGTGTGGTGAGCTCGGGTGCCTTTTATCAGACTGTTGACTTGGCTCCTGAGCCTGACCACTGCTGGCCCCCCATACACACACACATGCACACACATGTGTTCGTGCACACACACACACACACCATGCTGATTGGGGATGGGCTGCTTGCCTGGTGAAATCATCCTGGGATGCTGAGCATCACACTGTGGGCCCAAAGGACATGTTTGTTACAGTGAATCGCTACAAGCAAGTGCTTCCTGCAAAGACAGAAGTAGCTGTCAGGGCTGAGGACAGTAGCATGCCCTGACCTATACTTGCTTGTCTTTCTCTAGACACCGGGGGCTGATCCATGCCTATGAGTTTGCAGTGGACCAGCTGGCCTTCCAGAGCCCTCTGCCCATCTGCCGTTCCTCCTGCGACACTGTGGCTGGTTCCAACTATGACCTTGCACTGGCTTTTCCCCATAACAGTATTTAAGCATCATCACCTCATTTGAGAGAAAATTGGGATGGACCAATTTTATAAATTTTAAAACCACACAGGAGCTCACAGTGGGTGGCAAATGTCTGAGGGAAGACGGCAGTGGGATGGGGGGTGCACACTCCAGAGCATCCTTCACTCTCCTCCTCTGCTGGGCCCTGCTCTGGCCACCTGTGACAACCTGGAGTTTGTTGCAGCTGATTTCCTCTTTCTCCATTCTCTCTCCTGGGAACCTCTGTTCTGTCTCCTGTGGCTTTGAGTGTCATGACCCAAACTTAACCTCTGTCCCTGATGCTCCCCAGCCTGGAACCTTTTCTAGCTCGGTCTCTCTCTCAAGAGCGACACCTCTGCCCCTGCCCAGTACTCTGCCCCCCAACTCTCATGCAGCCCCATTGGGCTCCGCAGGGCCCTCTTACCTGCTCCCATCCTACAGGCCACGTTCTCACCTCCTTACTTTCTCTTTGGGGGCCTTGGGCTCTGCTGCTCAAGACTTTGGATTATAACCCAAAGGTGGTCTTTTTTTTTTTTTTTTCCTGTGGTGCTTAGGATAGAACCCAGGGCCACATGCGCACTAAACAAGCTATCTGCCACAGAGCTGCACCCCAGGGTGGTGGTCTTAGACCCCTGACCTACCACTACCAAGTATAAACCTGCAATAGCACGGCTTTTTCTTTGTGTAATTATAAATTATGGTAAATGCTGTATTTATACCACTGTGTCCACAGTATGGGATACGAAGTAAATGCTTTCTTAATACTTACTGCCTGAGTGGATCCTCCACAGGAACTAGAAGGCAGTGCTTCCACAGAGGAGTGGGGACAGGAAGGGCCTGAGGAGGAGCTATGACCTCCAGCCACTAAGATCAGCACAGCACTCGAGAGCAGCCAGGGGATGAGGAGCTTCTGCTGCATGCCGAAGGGACGCCACTGCACTGCTCTTATTGACATGTTTCCTGAACTGCAGCAGAGCTCACCTGCTGTACTTTCAAAGTATCAAAGCAAAGATTGAGAGAACCACAGAGAGAAATAAAATTCATCTACTCGGTGGGGAGTCAGATCAACTCAGTGAAGAAATTCAACACCTGGAAGATGTATCTGCTGTCATTAACAAGCCTGACCAGTAGATGTGTATGGTTCTGTACCTTTTCAAATTCTCTAGACCATGTAACCAAACATGCCCATGGATGAAGGCCACCAAGTCTCAGGGCACAAAGATTGATGCCGTACAGTCCACAGTCCCTTACCCAGTGCAATGTAATTAGAAACCAACATGAAGTAAAGCAATAAAAATACACCTGGAAATTCCAAACATTCTGAACTGGATTTAAAGAGGGTAATAGAAAGGAAAGATAACAACTCTAGGCCAGGGTGGTAATGAAAGTGCTGAACATCCAAGCCAGGGCTGAGGTGAGCTGTGACATTAGTGGGAAATAAGGCAGACTGAAAATGAATGGACTAAGCTGTCACCAAAGAAAGCTCATCAGAGATCACAATCCCAGAGAAAGAAAAAGGAAATGAAATGATAAGAGCAACTATTAACAAGATAGAAAAACAAAGTTAAAGATAAACTGTATGGCTCTTAATAAGGCATAGGTGGTGGTAGAAACAGAACCGGAGATCCTGTGGGCATTGGCTCGGCATCATTTGCCACACTGACCTGAGAGAAGCAAGGCTTTCCTGTCCTGGGTTAGCAGGGGTGGCTGGGAAGCCCACTGTTACTCCGAGGCAGAGAACGAGGTGGGTGTGCTTGAGCTGCCACAGCTGGGTGTGTGGCCTTGTGTGTCTTGCCCCTGCCACTGAGTCCCACCCCAGCCAAGGCCTGCAAGTTCTGAGTTGTGAAGGTTTGGAGAAGTTTCTAAGATTGCTTAAGATGGTCCTTAAATATCCGTCTCCAGCTAGCTAGGAGGATGGAGCTAGAGAGATGTGACCAGGGACATCAGTTCCCCTCAGAGGCAGCTGGTCCCCATGGTGTTCAACCAAGTTACTTGATGAGTGCTATAGCTGCCCATGGTTCTCCACAGAGTGGTTCACTGTCGTTGTCATGCGGCAGGCCGACCCCTGCTGACCTGCCTTTATTAAGTTTCCATCATGCCTGTGGTTTTTTCTCTCATGGTCTTCATGCAGCGGGACCACTGGAGAAAGTATTTTGTTTCTTTGCAAGAAGCAGTCCTTCCAGTCTGATGGCACAGTTCGTTTTGCAGGTCTAGTCTCCCTAGCTTTGCAGCCATTAAAGGTAACAGAAGAGGAACTGCATGTGGTGGCCCACTCCTGTAATCCCAGCACTTGGAAGGCTTCAGCAGGAAAATTGCCAGTTCCAGTCTCACCTGGGCAACTTGCCTTAAAAGAAATTAAACCCAGAAAATTAACAAAAAGTTTTTAACTATTGTCATTCACTGCCAAAAGCCAGTGCGGTGCAACAACATTCCAGGCATAGTTTACCCCCAGCATCTTCCATTCAGGAAAACTGCCAGGGTTTGTGAAGGAGAGTTTCTCGGCCTCACATACCAGCCGGTGTTCTCTGTTCTGTAAACCAGAACCTCCTGGAACAAACCACCCCGGCCAGGAAAGATAAACACTGCTGCAGAAACCCATGTTTGCCCAGTGACACAAAAACAGCTCCCAGCCCGAGTCTACTCCGCCTCACCTATTCTCCATTGGCTGGCTGAGGGAGGAGCTGCTTCATCACCTGCATTTCCTTCTGCCCCCTGTGCTTCTCACAGTCTTCCTCTGTGCTCCCCTGAAGACAGAACAGACTCAGACATGATGCTAGGGGAGTGGGAGCCACTGCTAGAGGATCTCACCCCTCATCCCAAGACGTTGCCACCTTCTGGGTCTGTATCACTGCTGATACTAATGTTCTTTGGACTTACTGATAGCTTGCATCATGGTAGGGTGTGTAGGGTCTGTAAGGTGTGCAGTGCCATTCCCAAGTACAGCATGGGGCCAGCTCTCCAGAGAGAGTTCCCAGCCAGGACCTGAGACCACAACAGGATGTGCAGCCATGCATGCCGGCATTCTCTGGGGAAAGTGGTTATCTTTCACAGCCTCCAAGGGACCGTGGCCCCCTTCCCTGAGACTTTCTTCTCTGGACCTGGTCTGGGTTTGACCACCTGGGACTTGTGTTGCCTTGGTCTGGGCAGTCTTTGCAGGGACAGCATCACTTTCCCCAAGTAGAAATCTCACCTTGGCTGACCGACTGCTCAGATTTCAGCTGACCAAAGGGAAATCGAGTTTTCCCAGCAGTGGAGTTTTGGTCTTTTCTGAGAGGGAAAGCTGACTCCCTCAAGATGAAGAGAACTCGAGGCCCTACCTTTAGGGAGGGGGCACTTCCCACTCCACTTGCTAAAGCACAGTGCTGCAGGACAGCCTTGCTCAGAGCTGTGGAGAAGCAGCTTCCCCTGCTGAGGGTGCAGCTTTCCCTGACAGCCAGCACTGGTTGCTACTGGGGAGGCTCAAGACAGTAGCTCAGGCAGCGCCGCCACTCCTTCCTGACCCAAACTGTGGCTTTGAACAGCAGCTGCAGCAGCCCTGAGCTGATGGTGCTGGCCAGCACGGCCACAGTGCCTCAGGCCACACAGACCTGCCCGAAGCATCACCCACCCAGCCAGGCCAGATGGTTACCTGGCTGCTGCTGCGGGGCCTGCGGCGACTTGGACGGGGGCTGCCTCTAATGTGTGGTGGCAGATTCTCTCTTGCCGGGCTCCAGCGGGCGCCATGTGGGCGCCGGCCTGCTCTCGGCCTCTGATGTTGCGTGCAGGCTTCCAGAACAGCCTTTTGCTCTACGCTGGGGACCTTTTCGTTCCCCAGGAAGGGAGGGAAAACTCCCCCACCCTTCCTCAGCTGAGCCTGTCCTGCTGAATCCTTTCTTCCTTTGCCCAGTGTGAGCACAAATGCTGCCTTGTCGCTCCTCTTAAGATGGTAGTGGCAGCAGGCTACCCCTGGGAACAGCTCTTGGGGCGCCAGCACTCTGTAAGGGCCCAAGCTTTATCCTTTGCTGACTTGGTCAGTGAGCAGCCACTGAGCCGTCGGCAGTCTTCAGTCCTCTGGGCCCTGTTCATCTCCCCTCAGACCTGCTGTCACTGGTGCAAAGTCTGCCAGAGATGAAGGCACCTGGCTGATATCCTGGCTCCTCCCATATGGCTTTCCTGGCCTTCCCAAGGTCACCCGTGGGAGGGTAGCCTGCAAAGGCAGGTGTTTGCAAAATCCTCGCCAAGGCAACTTGTATTTTTAACTTTCCTTCAGCCTATTTGAGTCACACGGTGCCATTTCCAGCACAGCAGAATTCAACATCAGCCTCTTTAACTGCAGAGTGGGGACAGGTTCAACTGCTCAGGGACAAGGATGAGGTCCGTGGATGTCCCCTCACATTAGCACAGCACAGTCCCTTGGATCAGAGGATAATAGAGTTGTTTGGTTAAAGTCTAACGATAACTCATTCCCTGAGAGGCCCAAATGGAGGCTGCGGTAACCTTGCTCTGTTCCCTTATCCATAATTCATGTGTAAGGTGTGCAGGTTCCTTCCCAGAGCTGCTGCTGTTAGATTTCCATTACACAGCCCTTTTGTAAACCCACCAAATTAACAGGTTTGCCTCAAAATACCATGTTCTTTTAACATTCAAAAGCCAACCTTTCCCCCTCGGTAACATGCAGTCAAGACTACATCCCACTTTTGATTTGATTCTATCCAGCAAATGTCAGAACACGGAGAAAGACACACACACTGAGGACTCCACCCCTAGCCTGTGGACCTCAAACATCAGCATCCTTTAAATACCTAGCTCGGCACTGAGCTCTGCCTGGTCCCTTCAGTCTGGTAGTCTCCAGGGTGCCAGCCAGCCCACTTGTTTGATTCATTACTTGCCTGTCTTAGAACAGCATAGACAAGTGGCCCTGTCATTTGGCTCGTGTCCCCATGTAGGGGTGAGGGGCTGGCTGCACTCGGTCAGGGTCTGTGCTGCCAGAAACCCCCTCCTGGGCACGGCTGACAGTCCGGCAGGTAACAGGAGCTATTCTTGAGCCACCTGCTTCCTTCCTGCCATGCAGACCATGCTTTCCAGATGGCAGAGCCATCCTCAGACCTGTGCCTGGAGTAGCAACCCTCAGCCTTTGAGGATCAGAAGCCAGCAGGCCCACCAGGTGCTGGGAATTAGCCTGCCCCTGGGGATGGCTTTGTACCTGCCTATCTGATAGCCAGCCCTCAATGCTTCAAGGACGCAGAGCACACTGGGGGCCAGGCAGCAGTGCTAGGGTGACCTGCAGCCCCTGCACTGGTGAGCATGAGCCCCAACCTTGCCCGTGAGATGCTGCCCTTCATAATTGTGAGCAGATGAGCTTTTTTCTGAGCAGTGTGCACAGAGCTTGCAGCAAATCCATCTCATTTTAATTAGCTGTGCAGATAAGCTGTGGCCCAAAGCTTCAAAGACATTAGCTGGGCTCAAAGCAGGCACACAAGCAAGCGCCCACTGTGGCTATGTCTCCCCAGCTAAAACTCAGGGCAAAGAGGCTGATGGAAGATTCTCCATTATTTACAAAAACATTTTACATTAATGAACTGCCTTTGTTGAAAAGAGCAAATTGGGGGTGTCCCAGGAACCCCAGGCACTTAGTGGGCTTGCCAGTGGCCCCTGCTGCTCAGCAGGACTGCAGATCTACGGGGAGATGGAAAGGCCTGGGAGGCCAGAGGGTGTGTCCAGATGCACACATCCCCACCATGCTGTCCGGATGACCTGAAGCCTTTCCAGCCGGCATCCAGGAAGCCAAGACCCTGAGTGGCAGAGGCTCCAGAGAGAGCTCACCCTCCCCGGGAAGCTGCCTGGCTTATCAGTCTGCAGGGGTCTATCCCCACCAGACAGCCAGCACCATGAAGGCATGAAGTAGAGGCCTCCATCTCGCTCCTGGTGCTGCTCACAGCATCTAGACTTGGTGAACTGAGTCGTAGTCAAAGAAGCAGAAGCATCTAGGATGGAAAAGGCAGAAGGGCTTACCTAGGCAAACAAACACCGCGCCCAAAATAAACAAACGGAAACGAAATCGATCCTTCTTCCAAACTACCTTGGAAAACGCTCTGGCACTGCTTGCTCTTCATAACCAAGGCCACTTGAATGTAGGCAAGGAACTGACAGCCACGTTCATTAACAAACATTTTTATTAGAAATAAAAACAGCAGTTCCACGTCCCATAGCAGGCAGGACATGAGCTGAATGGATGAGCATTGGTTCTTTTCAGGGCTGCAGCAAAAGGCCTCAGCCACTCTGGGCCACAGCAGAGGCTGCCCCCTAGCAAAGGCCACTTTTCAAGGATGGTGAGTGGGTCAGTGGCAAAGGGCAATGGTTTCCATGTTAAGGAAGCGGACGTGCATCTTGGTCTCGATGTCGATCCCCTGCCAGATCTGGAATGGATGGCAGAGTGTTAGAGGCACCTCCACTCCCGCATGCCCCCTTCCGGGCCAGTCCTCAGCCATCTCCCCACCAGCCCACGCGCACTCCTAGCAGGTGAAAACCAGGGGCTGTGTTTCAAGACGATGAGCTAAGCGAGGAAGAAAAACTCCCATCTGTCTCTCTGTTGATGAATTTGGCAGTGACATTTGGATTCTTCCTGAAATTGTCACAGCAAGTTATGATTAGGTCCTGATTCCAAGCTCTGCTCAAGTCCTTTCAGTCTCACTCTCCACCACAGGCTCTTGATTTTCATGCAGATTCCATCCCCCCACGAAGCCCCTTTCATCATCACAGTGTGGGGACCACCCCACCGTGCTGCCAACGCTGGAGTGACCCAGATGGTATCTCACTTAGCCTGCTTAGCCTGTAAGCTGGCCGGGACTCGGTGTGAGGCTACCTTAAACCATCATTGTGATAAACTCCTAGGGTAAGAGGTCACCTGTGTTTGCACAAACTAGTGTGGGAATCCAGTCCATGGCCACCTACCTGGTGCTGCTGTTCAGTCCATCTGGGCCCCGGGGGACATTTAGGCTACAAGGCTATTGGCCCAAAGCACCACCACTCCCAGGACCGTGCTCTCTGTCTCCTTGGCAACATGAGGCCAAGGATAGGAGACACAGATGGGGAGGTTCATGCAAGCACTGCACTCTCCAGCTGTCACTCTCCACATCTCCAGGCACAGCCACAGACTGGGCATCCAGAGACAGGGTGGCCTTGGGGGCCTCTCTTGCCATGTCACTAGCCAGTCCCCCACGTGCTCCCAGGTCTCCTGCCCGGCTGCTGTGAGGGAAGCAGAGAAAAAGCCACTTCCAGCCGAGCAGCTCCAACCCTTGTAGGGTGGACAAGATGCCTTCAGGGGGAGGTACCTAATCCCCAGGGTGGCTTCCACTACGTGCCAAGTGGCAGCACAGCTGCTAAGGGCACTGGAAAAGACCAGGGGCCAGAAGGGCTGGCTTCTCACAAAGGAGGCCACAGGTGCAGGGACAGGCCTGAGGAGCCTCCAGGGAAAGCAGCTGTTCTTTGAGCCGAGGAAATTCCTCTTGTGTTCTGGCCCAAAGCAGGGGGAGGAGGAGGCTCCCCTGAGCCTTCCTGGCCCGTGTGCTCAGGCGTCGCTTCCCTAGGTGAGTTGGACTCCTCCCTGGCCTCCCTGCTGGCACCAGCCATGACCCTTCACACAGCACAGCCTGGCCTCTCCCTCTGTGCCTGCCCTGCCTGGCTCTGGGTTGGGGCATCTGCATGGAACAAGGGTGACTGTCCTCTGGCGCAGCTGTCCCCTCCAGGGCTTCCCTTCATGGCTGGGTCTATGCCACCTGCCCTGCAGCGGGCCCACATGTTGACAGGCGACTGGCCCAGTCCGAGGTGCAGGCTTGGAGGACACCCCCTGGCCCTGACTCCGTGGGAACACCCCAGGTCCCAGTCCCACTCCAGGCCCTGGTGGAGCCTAGGGGTCCTGCCCTGATCCTCTTCCTCGATTTCCACCACGGCCATGGAGACACTGTTGGGATGCTGAGGGCCACAGTGCTGTGCATAAAGCAGGCAGGTCCTTATTCCCAGCCCTGAGCATGTTTGTAGCAGCAAAGGCCGGCATGAGACTAAACACCCATGACAGGGCGGGAGGGAAGAGGAATGTGTGGGTGGCTGTTTGAAAATGACATCAAGACATAGCGAGGAAGCGAGAGGCAGAGCGGCACAGTGTGCTCGTCTGCACTCCTGCAGAACGCAGTGTGCGTCCAGGCACAGCAAGCTCCAGAGCCTCACTCGCTCCTGGGAAGGGCTACCAAGGACAATGGACTTTTCATTCTCCGCCCTGTGTACTGCTTAAGTTGCTCTGACCGTGTACAAATATTGTCCTTTTGATAAAAATAAGTGAAACCGGTTAACATTGTTTTAAGGACCTTCGTACTGAAAGCGTCACATCGGTCACTCAGGTATGCACAAGGTGGTTGCAAGTAAGAGCCACAGCTCCTGACCTCAGCTCCAGAGGGTCCTAAGGTGCCCCCAGACCAGAGCTCCCACCCCCAGGCCCTCCATCTCCGGGCACCCACCTTCAGGAAGTCCTCAAAGGTGATCCCCTCGTACACCTGATCTGGCTCCTGTGGACAGAGCGCAGGGCACAGTGAGCAGCCGACCTCACCCAGTTCCTGCATGACTGCCCACCCTTCTCCCCGAAGCCAGTGTGCTCAGAGTTGGGGCTGTTTAGTCACTGCAGAACAGAGCACCCTGGGCCATGGGCCCCCGGCCCCTAGGGAGGGAGGGCCCTCCTTCCCCACACAGCCCCACCCACACCCCTGCCCCCAAAGCCTGGCCACCCCGACACCTCTTGGCACCCTGGGTCCCCCATTGATAAGACCTATTCTAGGCTAATCGGTCCTCACAGACCACTGGGGCAAGGGGCACAGGGCTGGCACCCACGACCCACCCTCACACTGTGAGTCACCATGATAACATCCAGGCACAGGGAGGTGGCCCAGGCCACCCACCTCAGGGCACCTGGGTAGCAGTTTCCCATCTGTGTCCTTCCCACTCGGGGGCACTGGGATGATGGGGGCACTGGGAGGATAGGGGCTCCTGTCCCTTTCACTGGTGTTCTTGGGTTCTGGCTAAACCACCAGTGGGCTGTCAGTAAAGCTGGGTTGATCACACTATGGATTACCACGTGGCTACTGAGAGGGGGTTCCCCTACACGTACTGTTGTGGAAGAGGCTCTGAAACACATGCACAGTGGAAAAGAAACAGGAACCCCAACAAGAACAGGTGTCCACAGATGCCATGTACACACTGCGTACATCCACTGCACAGGAGTACAGGGAAGAGGGAAGCCTCATCTAGTCGGGTCCATTTTGTGCAAATCACAGTGGGGGCTGGGGTGTACCTTGGTGGTAGAGCACATGCCTAGAATCCACAAGGCCCTGAGTCCTATCAAGCACCACAAACAAAAACCAAACATCAAGCCAGGTGTGGTGATGCATGGCTGTCATCCCAGCTACTCAGGAGGCTGAAGCAGGAAAATTGGGAGTTCAAGGCCAGCCCAGTGAACTTAGTGAGTCCTGTCTCAAAATAAGAGCTGGGGATATAGCTCAGTGGTAAGCACTTGCCTAGCACACACAAGATTCTGGATTCCATCCCCAGTACTCACTCACTCATGCACCCACATTTGCACATGCATGACATGTGGAATATGTGGGCATCTGTAGGGAACCCCCACCCCACGGCAGTTCCCTGCAAGAAGGGCCTGGGGTGGTCAGGGCAGAGGGCAAGGAACTTCTCAGTTCCTTTGTACCTTCCTGAAATCCTGCATAATGCAAATCTAAGGAAATGATAGTCGGCACTAAGTATGCCCGTGGCCAGCAGGTGACAATGCTGAACAGTGGTGCTGCCACCCTCCCAGTGGCCCAGGGGACTCTGCCCTTGCTCCCCACTCTAGATGACTGACACCCCGGCCAGGCCACTCATCCTGCCAGGCAAAGCAGTGCTGGCCAAGCCTATGACAGCTTCTGCTATTGGGCAGGATTCTGCATCCTTTTGGGCTTCTTCGTTCTTTAAAATGTTTTTCAAAAACCACCAGTTCTCTGCTGGCCTGGGCCAGCCATGTCCTGGGGGTGAGGGGATCCCTGTTCTTCCCTCTCATGGCCCAAAAAGTGGCCACCCCTCCCCGGGCCAGCAGAGGGGAGCTATTGACAGACCAGGCCCCGCTCCCCTGAGACCAGGGTGGAAAGTGGACGCCCACAAGGACGGCTTGGGTGGGAAGCGCCCAGGCTGCCCCCCTCCCCAGCACCAGGTCGTTACACAGAGCATCAGTCACTAGCAATGGAGTCCATTAAAGCGGGGGCAGTGGATGTCTCTGTGGTGAGGCACGGTCAGAAATGTTAAGTGTCCTCAGAGGCCAGCTGGTATTGAGCAGCCGCGGCCACTCCTGCCCTCAGCTTGGCCTGTGGTTTACGCAGAACATAATTAAACACGTGCAGAGGGAGCATAAGGGACCTGCTCCAGTCTCTGCCCTGCCAGGACCACGAGCCACCATGTGCAGACTCGGGACACCAGGCCTTGGCCCTGAGACACCCCGGCTTCTGAGGCTGCTCAGATTTCATGCAGATCAGCAGGCGCCAGCTGCCAACAATTTTACTACCCCAAATTAAGAAAACTGTCGCCAACTGCCACTGGAGTGGGACAGGGAGCAATTTGCAGGAGAATGTAATTAAATCAAATGGGAACTTGGCTCTGCACCCTGCAGGGGATCCCCGCTGACTCTCCTTGGAGGTCACAGCCCTTCCCAAGGGGTTTCATTTGTTGAGTGGGGTGGCTGTGCCAAAGCCAGAAGCCTCCCTCCAGGCCCAAGCAGCAGACAGATAAAATAATACGGTCGGTAAGACGGCAGCCCTGCGCCCCTGGGGCAGTGACAGGCCAGGGACACAAACTGCAGAATTCCGTGTGAGCCCCTCCACGCTGGCTCTGCCTAGGCACTGCCACTTTTCCACACTCGGGTGCAGGGGAGAACCTCAGCAGGAACCAAGTCCATCGAGAGGGTCCTTTGCCATAGGAGCAGTCCCCAAGGGCCGGTGGGCCACACCTGGCCCCACAAGAGGGGGTCCACCCAGCACAAGAAAGATGACGAGCCCCACAGAATTCCTTATGCTCTCTGGGCCTCAGTTTCCCCACCAACGAAATGAGGCTAAGGATTTATAAGAAGGTACACATGAGGGCTGAGCCCCCTCTTCCGCTTCATCTGCACAGCAGCCACGACCTCACCCCAAGCCAAGTGGTCTCCTGAGTCCAAAGGAGAGGCCCATGGACCCCCACCTCAAGGCCACAGGTCACCTGAGTCATTCATGCCACTCATCAAGAAAACGATGGATCCAGATGACCTGTGCTGTCTACTGCCCAGGGCTGGCCCTGTGGACGCCTGCCTGAGGCAGTGAGGCCACACAGGGACCTCCTGAACCCCAAAGCCTGAGCTCTACTCTCCACAGGTTGGGACCTATGGTCTCCTGGGGACGGGAAAAGCAGGGGGCTTCTGAGCACTGCTCCAAGCCGGGCCTGTCAGAGTACTGAGCAGGACTCAGTGCCTACCAAGGCCCTTGGGAAACACAGGCTGCACCCAGGAAAGAGAGCTCCAAGCTGGAGGTTGGTCCTTGGGCTCCCTGTCCTTCCCTCCGTCGACCCCAGGGTGCGCTCACCATCTGCCCCACGCACACGCTGGCTGCCTCCATCATGGCCCCATCGGCAATGGAACGTGCGGACTCCTTCTCGATGTGGGGGTTTCCAGAGAGCAGTTCCTCCACCACCTGCCAGGTGGGGCAGAGACAAATGGTGACCTTAGTCCTCTGTCAAGGTTGAAGGGCAGGGGAGGCACCTGGAGCCCGGGGTCGGGGCGCAGGAGCATACTTTACATTTCGATATTCTTCCAGAGTGATGCGGCCATCGCTGTCCGAGTCGTACATGTGGAACAGAACTGGGGGCAGCAAGAGAGATGGGGGGGCTCAGTCAGGCAAGGCCCAGAGCTGCACAGGAGTGGAGCTGGGTCCCTGCTCCACAGCTTCCCCACTCTGAAATCCACAGCCAGCTGAGCACCAGACATCGATGAGGAAACCTGGCTGCCAAAGCCTTGGGAACAAAGGCACAGGCCACAGGGCCAACTGACTGCTTCCTGCTGGATGATCTCCACCTTGGGCAAGTGACTTAACTCCCCTGAGCCTGTGCTCCCATCTGCGACATGGCAGTAACAGTGTCTACCTTGTGGTCTTGCAAGGGCTGGGGGAGGCGGCCCTGGATCCCCTGTCACTCTGAGCATGAGTGAAAATGATGGAGTCTCATTCACATGAAGCCAAACACAGGTCACGAGCCCACTGCCCAAATCCTAGTCCCCGTCTGCTCCAAGGGGCCCCAGGGCAGCAGGGGTGCCAGCATCTCCAGGCCTCTCCCTGTCGCCTTACCTCCATCCGGACCCCGTGAGGTCAGGGCTGCTCAAGACCCACTTCACAGACCAGCTGTCAGGTGCCACCCAAGTTGCTTGCTCATGGCCACCCAACTAAAGGGCAGCAAAGGGGTCTGGAGCTGCCTCCGATTCCTCAGCCGCCACCCGGCCCTCAGAGCAAACGGGAAGCCATGACACGGCGCCGGCCCGGTCAAAGACACTCAGGAGGCCCCAGACACTGCCCACAGTTCCCACCAGCCCCGTGTACACATTCCAGAGCTAAAGATAGCTGGGCGCCTGTGTGGACGTTTTCCTGACCGTGAGACAGAGGCCGGGTGGCGGAGAGAGGATGTCGGAAGTCGTGGGAAAGTGCACAGGGGAAAGGGAGACCTAACTCGGCCACCGCTGGGCCCAAGTGGCTGGCTGTCCAGGACAGTCCAAACTTGCTCCGGAGCCTGTGAACTGCGGTAGCTCCCCCAGAACCGAAGCTGGCCGGGCCCCTGCTCCAGGTGAGGGAGCCTAACTTCAGGGGGCACTGGCCCTGCTCAGGGTCTCCAGGTGGTCTCCTCACCACCAGTCCACACACCCACATCCAGGCTCAGGGTCACACACTGCTGAGCACAGGGGCTGAGCAGAAACCCAGGTCTGTGTGGACCACATCATCCCGTGACCCCCTTTCTGTCCGGAAGTTGCACACTGCTGGGCGGTTCATGAGGAGGCCACCAAGGTGCAACCTAGGAGGGGACAACCCCCCAGCACTGCCCTGACACCTCCTCCTTCCATCCCCTGCATGGCCCAGCCCCCTCCCTGCTGCAGGGAGCCCGGGTTCTGAGGACCTGGGGGCACGCACATCTCAGCTTCTCCCTCCGGGACAGCTCCACCTCCTCCTCGCCCAGGGTGGTGTCGATGGGCCGAAAGTAGGACATGATGGTCAGGAAGTCCTCGAAGTTGATCTCATCTGCCAGG